TTGGTGTGACTCTAACCAAGCAAGTGAAAGACCTGTTTGAAAAAAAAACTTCAAGTCTCTGAAGAAAGAAATTGAAAAAGACATCAGAAGATGGAAAGATCTCCCATGCTCATGGATGGGTAGGATTAACATTGTGAAAATAGCCATCCTGCCAAAAGCAATCTACATATTCAATGCAATTCTCATCCAAATACCAACACACTTCTTTACAGATCTTGAAAGAAAATTTCTCACTTTCACATGGAAAAACAAAACCCCCAGAATTGCTAAAACAATCCTGTACAACAACAGATTGTCTGGAGGTATCACCATCCCTGATCTCAAGCTATGCTACAGAGCAACAGTAATAAAAACTGCATGGTACTGGCATAGAAACAGAATGGTGGATCAATGGAATTGAACACAAGACACAGAAATAAACCCACACACCTACAGATACTTGATTTTTAAAAAAGAAGCTGAAACCATACAATGGAAAAAAAAAAAAAACAGCATCTTCAACAAATGGTGCTTGTCTAACTGGATGTCTACATATAGAAAAATACAAATAGATCCACATTTATTACCCTGCACAAAACTAAAGTCCAAGTGGGTCAAAGACCTCAACATAAAATTAGACACACTAAACCTGTTAGAAAAAAAAGAGGGGAAGAGCCTTGAACTCGTTGGCACAGGAGACAACTTCCTGAACAGAACACCAACAGCACAGGCTCTAAGATCAACAATCAATAAATAGGACCTCATGAAACTGAAAACCTTCTGTAAAGCAAAGCACACTGTTGTCAGAACAAAATGACAGCCTACAGACTGGGAAAGGATCTTCAGCAACCTTATATCTGACAAAGGGCTAATATCCAGAATATATAAAGAACTAAAGAAGTTAAACAGCAACAAATCAAGTAATACAATTAAAAAATGGATACAGAGATAAACAGAGAATTCTCAATAGAGGAATATCGAATGGCAGAGAAACACTTAAAGAAATGTTCAACATCCTTAGTCATCAGTGAAATGCAAATCAAAATGACCCTGGGATTTCACCTTACACCCATCAGAATGGCTAAGATCAAAAACTCAAGTGACAACACATGCTGGAGAGGATGTGAAGAAAGGGGAACCCTCCTCCATTGCTGTTGGGAATGCAAATTTGTACAACCACTTTGGATATCAATCTGGTGCTTTCTCAGAAAATTAGGAATAGCACTTCCTCAAGATCTAGCTATACCAGTCCTGGACATATATCCAAAAGAGGCTCAAGTACACAACAAGGGCATTTGTTCAGCCATGTTCATAGCAGCTTTATTTGCAATACCCAGAATCTGGAAAAAAACCAGATGTCCCTCAATGGAGGAATGGATACAGAAATTGTGGTACATTTACACAATGGAATACTACTCAGCAATTAAAAATAAGGAAATTATGAAATTTGCAGACAAATGGTGGGATCTAGAAAAGATCATTCTGAATGAGGTATCCCAGAAGCAGAAAGACACACACAGTATATACTCACTTATAAGTGGATACTAGACCTATAATATAGGATAAACATACTAAAATCTGTACACCTATAGAAGCTAAGCAAGAAGGAGGTCCCTGGCTAAGATGATCAATCCTTACTCAGAGGATTGGGCAAATGGGATGGACATTGGAAGAAGGAGAAAACAGGAAACAGGACAGGAGCCTACCACAGAGGGCCTCTGAAAGACTCTACCCAGCAGTGTATCAAAGCAGATGCTGAGACTCTTAACCAGACTTTGGGCAGAGTGCAGGGAATCCTATGAAAGAAGGGAGAGATAGTGGGACCTGGAGAGGACAGGGGCTCCACAAGGAGAGCAACAGAATCAAAACATCTGGGCACAGGGGTCTTTTCTGAGACTGATACTCCAACCAAGGACCATTCATGGAGATAACCTAGAACCCTTGTTCAGATGTAGCCCATGGCAGCTCAGTATCCTAGTAGGTGCTCTAGTGAGGGCAACAGGGACAGTCTCTGACATGAACTCAGTGATGGGCTCTTTGACCACCCCTCCCCCACTCCAAAGAGGGGTCAGAGGAAGATGATGCAGCCAGCCCTGATGAGACCTGATGAGCTAGGGTCAGATGGAAGGGGAGGAGGACCTCCACTATCAGTGGACTGGGGGAGGGGCATAAAGGGAGAAGAGGGAGGGTGGGACTGGGAAAAGGATGAAGGAGGGGGCTACACCTGGGATACAAAGTGAATAAACTGTAATTTATAATAAAAAATAAAGAAAAAAAGAAAAGAAAATGTGGGCTGTAACCAGAGCTATACTTAGAGGGAGATGTGAACATAAGCTTCATGTTATACTTGGGCTCAAAGCTCTGCTTTAAGTAGCTGTGCAGCCTCTGAGAATCATGGCTGCAAACATCTGCTCGGACAGGAAATACAGAATTCAATTCCTTGACTCTCACCAAATTAGTATGGCGAAGGTCAAGTCTTCTTTTTAAAAGACACCGGTTTGTACATTTAATTAGTATGTTAAATTTCTCAAGTTTTTCTTACATCATTTGATGCATATTCTTTGAAAGATAAAACAATGAATTGTTTCTTTTCCCAACTTTTATATATGATAGATTGTTATTAGTTTACAACCCTTTAAATTTTTCCTTTTATTTTTGAGATTATAGTACCATTATATCATTTCTCCTTTCCCTTTCCTTCCTCAAGATCCTTCCACAGACTGCTCATTGCTTTCTTTCAAATTCATGGCCTCTTTAAAAAATAAATCTTATTGATTCTTTGTGAATTTGACATCATGAGCCCCAATTCCAGACAGCTCCCTATTTGCCCTCCACCCTTACGACCTCCCCTCCATGAAACAAACAGCCTTGCCATGGGAGCTGTACCATGTCACAGGGTGTCACAGTACCCCTTGTCCACACCTCTTTCCTTGCAAAAGTCCATAGCACTGACTCACTGAGACTCTCAGATACCCTGTTGTTGCCCTGTGTGGTGGAGCGCCTGCAGTTTTTGGATCTGCAGGACCGGCCCCTTGGTATGAGCCAACTCAGAGCCCTGGGCCTGGGCCTGGGCCTGGCTGCTGGCTAAGCTGGTCATCCCACTAGCTCTCCTGTCCTCCCAACAATGGGGCCAGCTCTCCTGAGCCCATAACACGACACGGTCATGGCCTCCTTTTTCAATAACTGTTATTGTGTGTACACGCATGTGTGTGTGTGTACACACACATATTCCAAAATACAACCTGCTCAGTCTGGAAAATGTTATTGTAGGCCTGTTTTCATCGCTCGTTAGCATGGGCCCACCAGGTGGTGTGTGCTTCTCTGGGGAAGGACTATCTTTTCCACTCTCAGAATCCCTTAGGTTCCTGAGGTCAAGTCTTCTTGAAAAAAATTGTTTTATGTGTATGTGTGCCTGAGTGTGCGCCACATGTTTGCAGGAGTCCATGGAGGCTAGAAGAGGGACCTTGGCCGGAACTCCTGGAACTGGAGTTACACAGGTGGCTGTGAACCAGCGTGTTTTTTAAATGGAGAGATTGGGGGAATGAGTTAACGCTGGTGGATGGTATTGCATACTTCCACTGGAATAAGAGAGGTGTGTGGCATCTGCCACTTGGCTGGAGACAGAGGCGCAGCAGCAAATCCACAATGGTCTCTTCCTTCTTGGAAAAAATAAAAGTGGTCTGCGTATCAAGCCTCTTCTAAGCGGAAACTGTAGAGACAAACAGAGAGAACCAGGCAGTGTGCTGAAGTAAGCCGAAGCTGCTCTGTGGCCAAAGCAACAGGCCTTTGCTGTGTAACTTATCTACGCTGCAGAGCCTGGCTTGGTTTCAGCAGCAGTACAGGCCCCCAGTGAAGCCAACTACGGCCTTCACTCCTCTTGGCCAGTAACTAGTCTAGTGTGGGAGTTGGATCCCATCGTGGCCACTGAGAAACAATTGGGAGGTATTTCTGAGAAACAACTCTTACCCATAAGCCACTGCTGATAAAAATGAAGTCACTGTGGCTTGTCACCTTCCTTCATGCTTAGAACACTGAAGGTCTGTGGACATGGCTGCATTACTCATGTTGGAGGTGGAAGGCAGGTTTTCTCTAGCGCTGTTTCAGGCCATTACCTTGGCCAAGCTGTCCTTCTCTTGCAGAAGGCTCTTCTTCTTTAAAGCACTCCCTGCTTCAGCAAATCCCAGGACACAGGAATCTCTCCCTCAGCTTACCTCTCCGCCTTTGAAGACATTATCCCCCAAGCTAACCTGTGTCTATCACCATTTTGGAGGTACTTGTGATTATATCCCCAGAGCATGGCCAACTTTAGATCTTTCCATTCATATGGAATACCTTGCCTGCACCCAAACCCCAACTTCCAGGCCTGCTTTTTCAATAGTATTCCTGCTTTTCTAATAAAAACGCCTGTCAGTCCTGGCTCTCATTCTGTCCTCCTGAGGGAAGATCTCAGTGTGAAACTGCATTATTCAAAATGCTCATCAGCCTGGCCATGACACAGCAGCACAGGAATACTTCACATCCCCACCCAGAAGTTTTGCTCAGGAGCAGCCATATGACTTGCTTTGGCCACTACAGCGTAGGAAGAAATGCCGGGCACTGTGAGTAGACTTCAGGGCAGCGGTGGTTCTGTGTCCTTGCTCCTGTCTGTGATGCAGTGGATAACTGAGAGCAACACATTGGGATTGGTGAACTGAGCCTAAGTAACTGATGGGGTTAATCAGGTCCTCATCAGGAGGCCCTGCACCCCCAGACTTCACAGTCACCTGCGCTGGAACATGAGGCCAAGGGAACACACCTGCCCGTCTGTTCCTGGTGCGGAAGGCCTGATTCTGCCAGGCCTGCCCTCTGGCTGTGCCTGGGTGTTCAATACAGTTGCTTTGCTCTCCCAGAGGCCTTGGCTTGGGATGATGGCACTCTAGAACTTGTCACCATACAGTAAAGGCATGACCCACTGAAGGGTGAGGAGTGGTGGTTTCATTCTGAATGTTCCATTGCCTGAAAGGACACACCATCATGTAAAATTACTTTTATTAAAATAGAAAAGCTTTCTAGTATTTTGCTGTATACTATATATAGGATATACATACAATAAAGTCTAGTATTTTGCAGACATTTAGACAGAAGCAGGCAATTGCAACAGAGGCTACATCAACATCAGCACTGAGATCCTGAGAGCTTTAAGTGCCCACGTTTCAACATTTTGGTATAACAAGCATTTTGCTATATTTCAGAGGGTACATGTAACAATGAAAAATACTTCATGTAAAGTCTAAGTTCAGATGCATACAAACAGGTATTACATTATAGCTTATTTCAAACTGTGAAACATTCAAAGTATCCAATTTCTTAGACAACATGCAAACATTTTAATATTTAGCCTGACATCTTAAATATATAAACCACATTCTTTATAATTCTATATAAAAGGAAAAGCCAGACAGTTTATCCACACTGTGCACATCACAAAAACAAAATGTGTCTTCATGAACAGAAAGTATGGAGCTAACACACATGATTGTCATTTTATAAATATGGCTATTCACCTTCATAATAAAATTTAAAAATCATGTACTATTTACATGAAGTACTAATTATCTTAATTTTTGGCAATTATATAGTAGCAGCAATCGGTTTAAAGTCTGTTATTTAAACTCTCTGAACTTGGTGAGGGCTCACGAGTGTCTGTGGACAAGATGCTCAGAGGCAGTGAGGCTGCCCGTTCACAGGCACAAACTGGCAACCACTGAGAGGGCCACGTGCAAGGCAGGGGCATGAGTGCCACTCGGTCGACATTAGATTCCTGCCTGACATCTCCGTGGAGGGAGCCTGATGGGCCAGCGATGATTTCAGAGTTTTCTCTCCTTCCACGCCTTCACAACAGTGGGGTTTTACCAGCCCTCAGCTTGTAGACACAGAGCAGGCACGGCGGCGGCCTCCCAACGCTTCCAGGAAGACTGGAGCTGCTAGGACAGGAGCCCAGCAGCAGAGGCTCGTCCTTAAAGTGACCATCTCACTGATCAGTGATGGCAAATTTGTTTTGGGGAAGCAAAATGTAAACTGTGGCCCAGGGAACCACCAGCGAGAGGCACCGTCTTCCATTACACTGGGAGAGCTCAATTTATCATTTTACAAATCAAGGCAAAACCCCTAATATTGGCAGACTAAAAAAAAAATACTGTGTGGTGCTAAGAGGTGACATGTGCTTTTGCTTGGCCATCAGCTAGCAGTCCTGAATGTCTTTCACAAGGTGGGACGGCTGGGTGGAGGGATGCTTTGCAGCTTTGTGGGCCGTCAGGAAAGAGTCCAGAGCAGGTGCATGGTGAGGCCCAGGCTGAGGAGCAGAAGCTGGGAGTGGAGGGGAGGCCTGTCCGCACTGGCCAGTGACGGGAGGCTGCGGGAGACCTGCACCTGGGAGATGATGAGGGCGGAGAGGGGCACGTGGGACGCCAGCGTGGGGCTGTCGGAGTTGATGAGGGACTCGATCTTCTCTGCCTCCTTATTGCAGGCCTCTATCTGTAAGGGAAAGACCCTTTTAGTGTGAAACCTCGGAGCTGTTAACAGTCCAGTCAAGCAAACTCCAGGCACATGTCAAAAGGAGACCGGCCTAGAGGCAGCTTGCTCTCTTCTGCCTTATTGTCCTCGTCAGAGGTACAGGTAACTATGGTCTTAACTAATTACACACGTATACGAGCATGAATGGATATCAGAGGTTGCAGTTGACCATTTTTGGTTTGTACCCTACCGTACACTGCCGTCTCAGTGGACGTCACTGTTACAGTCAGACACAAGCACGGGGATGCTTTACCCCTGCTGTGAAGGCGAGGGCAGAAACAGGCAGCTGCAACTGCGGCCTCTACCCCTTCCTTGAGTCCCTGCTACTTTCTGCTGAATTTGGGCCTACCAGTGAGGTTCCACAGCCTTCTCAGCAGTGAGGAAGAAAACACCTAGGGCCCCTGAGACTACCTCTCGTGGACTTAGGGCAGCAGCAGAAGCACTTAACACCCACCAGAAGTACTTTGTTTTGAGCAGGGTCTTGCTATACAGAGCAGGCTAGCTTTGAATTCACGATTCTCTTAACTTAGCCTGGAGAGACTGGAGCTTTTGGCGTGGTCACTGCATGCCCCGTGACACTGCCTTACTCCCCTGGCCTTGGCAGCACCATGATGGAGTGTGCCTGGCTTCAGCCCCAGAACAGTCATTCACAGGCTGCCTTGCTCTTCCTCTTCCGCCCTTTCCAACTCCCAAAGTGCTCCCATTTCCCGGCTCCTCAGTCCTTTCCCACCCCTGGTTTGTGTCCTGCTCTCCCACTGTTAAGTCCCCCAGACTGTAAAGTGACTCAATGGCTGCCCAGCGTGTGCTGAACCCCACCTGCAAAGCTTTTGGATGATGATCGACAGGAATAATCAGGATCACAATTTCTGACTCGATGCTCAAGTATCCAAACACATCACACTGTGGCACAGACACGTGCATGCGGATCTTCTGAAGAATCTCCAGAACTGTTATTGGCTTCTTGTTTGTCACCTGGAAGACATTTCCAGGATCCCCTCTAGGCTACTTTGCTTCGGCGGCAGCTGACCAGGCTCTCTGGCCAGTGCTCTCAGCACCAGGTTTGGCTCTGCTGGACACAGTCCTGTCTCCCAGCGCAGTGGGGTTCGGGCTGCCCACAGAGGTTTGCAGCAACATTAACACTCACCGGAAGTAGTTTGTCTTGAGCAGGGTTTTGCTATAGAGACCAGGCTAGCTTTAAATTCATGATCCTCTTAACTCAGCCTTGAGAGCTTCAGGGCAACTCTGTACCAGCATGCCCGGCTCAGAAGTGCAGTTTATTTATTTAGGTTCTTTTTAGTGAAATAGCACCCCAGATAACTGAAGATGGCCTTGAACTTCTCATCCTCCCACCTCTACCTCCAAGAGCTAGGATCCAGGCTTGCATGCTCCACTTTATCTGTCTGTCTGTCTATGTACTAATTTATTTATTTATGAGAGGGAGAGAGACAGAGACATACACAAGCAGAGGACAATCTGGATGTCATTCCTCAGCAGCTATGGATACCTAATTACATTTTTTTAATTTTCTTTTTATTATGTGCACATGTACCTCGTATGCGTGCACGGATGTGTGTGCAGGCGCCATGGGGTCTGGCGTTGTGGGTGGTTGTAAGATGTCTGATGTAGGTGCTGGCAATCAGATCTGAGTCTTCTGAAGGAGCAGTAAGAGCAGCAGCACTTATGCGCTGAGCCATCCTATCTTGCTTTTAAGATAAGGTCTTTCATTGACCTGGGCTTGAACCACAGGAGTATGGTGGGCCCCACTTGTAATCTCAGAACTGGGGAGGCAGACACAGGAGGGTCCCTCCAGCTTGCTTGCCAGGCAGTCTAGCTGAATGAGACACATCCAGGTTGAGTGACAGATCCTGTCTCTAAACACAAGGCAGAAAGTGACTGAGGAAAACATCCAGCTGAGCTCTCACCAGCCCCATGTGTGCCTCTCAGAAAGCGAGTGCTCTGAACTGGAGGGCCCAGGGAACCAAGTCCTGTGGAAACACTGTCTCTCAATACAGACAGGAAGGGTTCCCCGGGCAGTGGCAAGGTTCTGCCTGTTGCATCACTAGAGCCCTAACTCCCCAAAAGGGAACATCAGGGAAAGGGAAAGATGAACAGACAGGGAAGGTAGCTCCTCCGGGATGGGTACTGGGGTGAGTAGGATGCAGAGACCACCTGGCCCTGGCCATGCTCTTTGAGCTGGCAGGGACATTTCCTAAGAAAGGGTGTGGCAAGAAAATGCACAGGCGCAGAGTCAGCCACCTGGGTGGCAGTCCCTGCTCTGTTGCTTCCGGGCGGCTCTGGGGACCAGGTTCTTTATTTACACACAGGGACCATAATGCTGCTGTCCAGGCTTCCTGAGAAGTTTAGCCATGTACTTTCAACAGTACCTGGAACACAATGCAACTTACCTTAGCAATAGTGTCCAGTTTTTCTTTGTCAAACAAAACCCGTAACATCCCAGCACACAATGGGCAACAAGCCCCTGTAACAGAAACCATTTGTTTGTGTTCAGAATTAAAACAAAGAGAATCCAACATTACTGGTGAAGTGGCCAGCTTCACTGTGGCCTTCACCTGCCCTTCTTGGTGATTTTATCTTCAGTTGTGCTCCGTGACCAACCCAGGATCCTACCTAACATCTGTGTTCACCAAAGTCATCCCTTCTCCCCACACCATCCTCTGGCAATGCTCAGGCTGAGGCGGCTAATCTCATGCCGTAATTAATAGAGTTCACCGCGCAGTTTAGCAGCAGTCCTCCTGCCAAGTCCTCACCACCCTCGTTCAGCCTCACCAGGCAGTTCTGACTTGACAGTTTGGATCTGCAGGGACCCTCATGTCCCTTCTCTAGGAATGTGGCCTCCGGGAGGGCGGAGGCTTCATTTTGTTCACTGCTGGGTGCTTCGAAGGATATCCTGAACCCAGTGGAGGCTCAGTGGATCCCTGATGAGCTTGCAGTGGAAAGCTGGGAGACCCAGAATAACCTGTACTGACCAGGCTTGGAACGGAGGCTCTTCTGTGGCCTGTCTCACTGACGAGCATGGGTATAAGGCAAACTGTTCCCCAAAACTGATGCTCCCAGGTGCTGTGACTACACAACTGAGCTAAGGCAACTCTTGATTACAAATGTTTGTGTTCATCAAAACATGTCAACTATCCATTCATTAATTAATTTGGTTTAAAACAAGTAAAAGCTATGTGTTTAATCCAGTAACCTTAGTTTTTTAAAATTTAAATAGTACTTTACCTGCATATATATTAATGCCTTGTAAAAATTTGCTTGAAAAAAGTTGCCATCCTGTTTTCTTTTTAAGTTTTATAGTAGATGTATTCATTTTGTTTTATGTGTGAGTGTTTTGCCTGTAGGTATGCACGTGCACCAAAGGTGTGCTTGGTGCCAGAGGAGTTAGAAGAGGGCACAGGAGTTACAGATGGCTGTGAGCCACCTTATTGGTGCTAGGAATTGAATCCAGATCCTCTGCAAGAGCAACAAGTGCTCTAACCCTGGGCTGGCTCTCCAGGCCCTGCCATGCTGTTTTGAGAATAATCAGCATACAGGTCTCTAACTTTTTATTTTAGAGAGGCTCTTATACTGTACCCCAGGTCGCCTGTGTCATGGACACTCTCCCTATCTCTGCTGATCACAACTTTTCAGAGTTCACAGACCAGTGAACTCTCTTCTCAACAGCCCATTTTCTGGGGGCGGATCAGCAAATCTAGCCCCACCCCTGCCCACCAGAGCCTGCAGCTTACCTGGTGGGATGATGGGTTTGCAGCCTGTGGCTGAGCGTGGAGGACACTTCACAGCAGCACACTCAGCCACGGCACTGTATTCAGAGAGGACCCCAACAGCCTGGCAGGGCCCGGAGTAGTCAACTGCCACGCGATCCGAGTAGGCGGCACACACACTGCTGTAAGTCTCACCATTGTGCCCACAAACAGGCTCTGTGGCTCTGCAGAAGGGCTGAGGAAAAACAAGCAACTGTTAGCCTGGAAACTCCTATGGAGTATCTGTCTAATTGTTGAGCACAGAGATGATGTCCCTATTTTCAGGAAGTGAAAAGACACAGGCTATAAGTTTTGGGGTCCCTCTAAAGCCCGGGTTGGACTGAGACTGTCTGGAGATAAACTGAAAAGTCTTTGAAACTTCGGCTTGTTTCACCGAAACCAACACAAGATAAAAATGTCCCCTTGTCACTCCTTCACCCAGACTACTACTAGTGGTCACGAAGGTCTGAATAAAAATATTGCTCTTCATGAAAAGGTAGGACCTTGCCATTTCACCCTGGGTGTGAGAAAGGGGGAGGGATGGGCAGAGAGATGGGAGAGGAGACACATTCCAGATCTACTGGGTAATTAGGGATAAACCCGAGAAACTCCCTATATGAGCAGAGGGAACAGGGTGAAGGGGAGGAGCTAGAACAGTCAGTGTCCCTGCAAGCGGGACACCAGCAGCCAGACAAGCTGGAGGACTTCCCTACCACGGACAAAGGGCACGTCCCGTGTTAGTGGTTTGCAGGCAGGTGACGCTGGCCCAAAGGTGGGAATCTCCCAGGAGGGTCGGCACAGAATCAGGGAGGTCAGGGGAAGCTCAAGGAGGCTGTCCAATGAGGTTATTCAATGTGGAAGACTTCATAAGCCTCAAAGACAGATTTCGGCCTAGGTAAAACAAGTCTGAGAGGTTTTTATGTCACAGCAGCATAGTGGAGGGAACAGTGGGGATAGCACTTTCCTTTCTGATTTCCCTCCCTCCCTGCCTCCCTCCTTCTTTCCTTCCTTTTTGGTTTTTCAAGACAGAGTTTTTCTGTGTAGCCTTAGCTCTCCTGGAACTCACTGTGTAGACCAGGCTGGCTTCAAACTCATAGGGATCCGCCTGCCTCTGCCTCCCAAGCGCTGAGATTAAAGGTGTGCGCCAAAACCCGGCCTGGTTTGTTTTCTATGGTGGCCCAGAGAAGTGTGGCAAGATGAACAGCAGTGACCACACAGGCTGTGAAATCCTTCTCAGAGGCCACACTCCCCAGAGTTAACACACTGCTCCTTTCTCAGCAGACCGCTGCACTCTGCTTGTCTGGAGAAGATCATAAACTGACTCGATGCCTTTGGGTTTGGAAACCAAACAACGTACCTGGCAGGGGCCCCTGTAAGAGAGGCTTTTTCCTCGCTGGTACAATGTGCAGAGATTGCTGTGCTCCATGTGGTCTGTGTCACACACAGGATCTCGGACCTGGTCACAGGTGAGCTGTCTGGGCACACACTCATACTGGCTACATCCAAATTTATCAAAAGTTGTCAGGCAAACTTGTGGTTTGGGCACACATCTGAAAATGATGAAAGTAGCAGGTAAACCATAAGCAGGAAGAAACAGTGCTGGGGCAGCAAAGCCCTGGCTGCCGAGCAGGACTCTGAGGAGAGCCAAGGCTAACGGAGTGTATGCAAAGGACAGTAGGATAGAAAATGGCAGACACACTGCTCAGAGGGAATTAGTGGCTGAGCAGTGAGGCCTGGGCACACACAGAAGAGTATGCTCTAACTGGAGCCTCGTGAGCAAGGAGAAAGCAAGCAGGAGAGGCTACGGGAGCAGCCACAAACCCGAGGTGATGTTCTGGGATGTGGGGTGGGGGAAGGTACAAGCCAAGGACTCACGTTGGAGTAAAGTGCCTGATGTGAGACCAAGTGTGGGGTCCACACTAGAGGCAATACTCGGTAACCACACACCATTTTCAGAAGCTTTATTTTAGGCAGCTATTCATGCTGGCCTGGAACTTCCTATACAGAACAGGCTGGCCTTGAACTGACAATGATCTGCCTACTTTCTGGATGTAGGGTTAAAGATGTACTCCACCATGGCTAGCTACATACTTAATTTTTAGCTTGATTAACATGAGTCCATCTTAAGAAAGGCTTCACTTTTTATACTAAAAAATTCAGCATTTAAAAAAATCAGCTTTTACGCCTCCTTGGGGGGGGGGTGATGCTGGGTGCTTATGATCTGCAGGGGTGCTACAGAAGCAAGTCCTTCCAAGCAACCTAACAAAGAAGGCATGGGAGCCAAGGGCACTGGAGAAAACTTGTAATCTAGGGAGAAAGCAATAGATCAAGTTGAGAAAGCGGGAAGAAGAGGGCTGGCCTGAAGGACTCTCAGAGATAGAAGCACACACCTGAATCCCCCAGTTTGAGGCCAGAACCCACGAGGCAGATGCGGCAGCACACACGTGTACTTCCTCACGGGTGGACGGGGCAGAGACAGGAGGCTTTCCCAGGGGGCAGGACAGTGGCAGAAGCCAAGCGGGAGAGCTCGCCTCAAACAAGGCAGGACACAAAGCACAGCTCCTGAGAGCCATTGTGTGGCATGCTACACTCACAAGCATACCACATATACACATATCATACATAAAAACCGTACACACACAAGAATGCTTTTTAAAGGAAGTAAGAGGACGCAAGAAAAGACAATCTCTAAGGAAAATTTAGTAAAATGATCAAAGCAGAGAACTGTTTTGTTTGTTATGTCTGAATATTTAGAAAAATGTCTGGCATATCAGTAGATATTTGAGGGAATACACCATTTTCTTAAAAACAAACAAACAAACAGCCCACAACTGCTTTGAACAGATGACACAAATGATGGATAAAAAGGTGTCCTGGGAAAACGAAAAAGTGTGATGTCATAGTGTACAAAGTAAGGCCCTCCTCCCACACGTCACGTCCCAGGCTCCAAGCTCCCTTCTCAGAGGCAGCCGTCTTACTCATTCCTTACTCTCCCAGGGATAGTTTACCCACTGAAAACTGCTCAGGGGCTGGAGAGATGGCTCAGTGGTTAAAGAGACACATCTCTTCCAGAGGAGCCTGGTTGAGTCCCAGCACCCACAAGGTGGCTCACAACTGCCCAGAATTCCAGTTCCAGGGTTCTGATGCCCTCCTTTGGCATCTGCAGGGACATGAACACAGGCAAACACTCACCCACAGGAAGTTTTAAAGCCCCCAGAGAGAAGGTTCTTGCCCTCTTCAGCCCCTCTTGTATTTATGTTATAATTTTTTGTCTTTGCAAATACAATAGATACAAAGTGGCACACAATTAGTTTTAACTTTCATTTCTGGCAACATGAGGAAGGTTCAGGGTGGGTGATAACTGCTATATATTCCTCAAATCCACTTACTCTCTTATGAATTTATACAGATTGCATTCTCTGGTCTCTCTATGCTGACTGGGTAGTAGAATGTGCCTGGCAGTAGTGACTATGATAACACCTCAGCAGCTGGCTCATGAACGCATCTCAAGAGAATCCTCCACCAAATCCCTTCTCATATCTGCTGGCCAGAAGTAGGGTGGAATGGTAGAGGTGGCAGAGTCACTGCAGGGCGACCCCAAGCCTCTGAGATGGCTAGTGGGAGCCACCTGCTGAACATGCCAATGGGCTTCATTTCTTCTATATATGAAAGAACTGAATTTTGGTGATCTGCATATAATAGAGTTTCTTAAACTTTAATAAAGAAACACATCCCCCTGCCCAGGTGTTTAAGAACCATTCTTTCTTTTTCTGTATCATTCCTTAGCCCATGATCATCACCTGTTTTCACATTAAATTTATATTCTTCACACGGGTTAGGGTTCTTTCTCTGTGACATTCCTCCCAGTCTGTCATTAGTTACCAGCTCCCCCTCCCCCGCTATGAGACTTTCATGTAGCTGAATTTTCAAACTTTTCTTTTATATTGGCATTATATCTAAAAAGGCCTCTCTACTTGGAGATGTAAAGCAACACTATCTTATTCAGGGGATCCACCGGTAGCTCTCAGTTTCGTTTCTGTTGTAAGTTGGTTTTTACTGTCTGCCTGACATAACCAAGAATCACCTGGAAGAGGAATGAATTATCTAGATCATGTTGGCCTGTGGTCATGTCTGTAGAGATTGTCGTGAACGTCCCAAGCGTGGACAGCGCCATTTCACATGTGGGACCCTGGACAATGTAATTGGAGCTGAGAAGCAGCAGGCGGGCAGTACAGACAGGTGGTTAGTCCTCTGCTCCTGCTTGGGGACTGAGCTTTAGGCTCCTGCCCTGCTCCCTTGCTATAATGGACTGTAGCCTAGAACAGACCTCCCTTCTCAAAGCTGTGCTCATGCTTTTCAGGTGCTTTGTCACAGAAACTGAAGTGAAACTAGAACCTCAACCTCTGTGAGGCATGTGTCTGATTCTTTGCTACTTCACTAGATGAGAAAACCTCCCTCTTATCCTTTGCCCGAGTTTTCAAGATGAAGAAGCAACTTTCTGTACAAACTCCTTCATCAGGAGAGAGCTGTGACTCTGGGATGAGCCATGCTCGAGTCTCAGAGGTAGACTCCAGGTCTGGGAGGCTGAAAGCTACATCAGCCACATTTGCCTGGGAGCCACCACATGGGGATCCATCAAGGCCAGCTTACTGTCATCTGGCTTGGTGAGGAGGCTGCAGAGAAGGGAGTCCAAAGCCAGGTAACATCAGATAACAGCAAAGCTGAACTCTCTGAGCTTTCTCATGCCTAACTCTGACAATGCGTGCTCTACTGGAGAAGCCATGAACAGCGACTAACAAGGTGTCCATCCTCTCATCTCCGGTGCTGCCTGCCCCTGTCCTTTCCTTACTCTTTGCTTCAGTTTTATAGACCCCTGAGTTCCCGGCACACACTTCTGCTCCTGCTGCCATCTGACCTCACCTACGCCAGCTTTCCTCCCTAACCGTCCTGCTTTTCACCAGCTTTTCACCTCTGAGGCCCTGGGCCTTCCCTACCCAGCTGCATTGATTCCTCTACATATGCACTCCTAATCCTGCAGCCGGGAAGTTCTACGAAGCTCTTTTTGTCCAGACTCGACACCATTTAGGACAGAGACAACTTTTTTTCTTGAGAGACCTCAACATGTAGCATGCAATGACTTTGAACTCATAATTCTCCAGTGCTCCAAGTGCTGGGATCACACCATGAGCCACCAAGCCCAGGCAGGCTTCTTCTCAATCCACTTTTGCCTTTTTCTAACGTGGGACATACACAGTAGATACTTTACAAGCGATAGTCTGTGGCTGAAAAACAGAAGCAGCATTTGGCTTACCTTTGGCTTTTTGGGCAGAGGTTAGGATTACACGGATCCTTGGAGATACAAGGTCCAAACTCAAACTGATGGTCTTGGAGACCCACACAGCGAGCGATGCAGGCACTGGGGTAAGTGCGTCCATTCTGTGCGCACACTGGGACAAACTGGTCTGCACAGTTACAGGGCAGACCTGAGGAGAGGAAACAGCCTCAAGTGAACACACGCGCTCCCTTCCCTGTGTGCTGATGCAGGCAAGCAACTAACAAACCATGTAAAAATGGAATTGTACATTAACTTAGGAAAAACAAAGACCAATCTCTCTCTGACATAGTTCTATCTATCTATCTATCTATCTATCTATCTATCTATCTATCTATCTATCTACCCACCCATCTATTTTTGAGGCAAGATCTCATTATGTAGCCTCCCAAGTGCTGGGATCTAAGATGTGCACCACCATGTCTGGTTCTGACAGAGATTTTAAAGAGAGTTAAGCTCTGAAAAGCTATGTTTCTATATGACATTCTTTGTTCTTTTCATTGTTATTTATTAGGTGCCTTCAGACACTGACCCAGGTAGAAACAGGGTTATAGGTAGAAACAATAAAGCTCATTTCTCCTGACCTGGTACATCAAACTTGGAAATCAGATAGCTTGGGGGATTTCCTGAATGTTAAAAGATAATACCAAAATAAGACAGCTTTCAGGACTCTCTCTCTAAGTCATGTTTGGACAGAGGCACTGAATACCCAAAAATATGGTACAGTTTTGGGCCAGCAGAACCCTTTAGTTTGCCGGCTAACCTGGTATTGTCCTAATTTACTCCAGAACGGCAGGGACCACACACTATAGGGAACATGGACCCATAGAAAAGCATGTTTTTAAAAGATGCTGTTTATAAATACACAGTATATGACTTCCACCTCAGTCTCTCTGTCGTCCACTCTCATCCCCACATCCTTCTGCAGCTTCTCTAACAGAGTAAACCAGCCTCATCAGAAAGGAGCAGACGAGGGCGAGCCAAGTGCTGCTGACAGCAGCCACAGGGTGAGGCAGCGGCCGCTGGCGCTCACAAGCGGAGGGGCACACTGCACACTTAGCTCTGCTGTCCTCCTCACTGGCCTGCAGCTCTCCCCCTTTTCTTCCAATGGGCTGGCACAGGTTAGCAAATCCTCTTCCCGTCCCTGTCCACCTGTGGCGTCCTAGCCAGCGCAGAGGAGGGGTCAGGCAGAGCTGCCTCCACCACTTTACTGAGGACCCAGGCTCTTTCGTTCTGGGCCATCGGACAGTGCTGCACACGCTGGCAACTACTGCTCTCCTCACCTCACCAGGTTTTGCATCTGCAGGTGCTGGTGTCAGCGTAACCAGGCACCCTCCAGTATGGTAAAGTCAAGGAAGTAGTGCCTGACCCTGTCTGGGGGCCTATGCAAGTCAGTGAGCAAGGAAGGCTGAGAAAGAGCCTGACGAGAAACACACTCGGAAAGCACACGGGTGCCTGAGGCACTAAGACACGGCTCCTTTGTGAACAGGAAGAAGCGGAGATCCGGAGAGGAAGGTATCTTGCTCTCAGATTTGAAATCCATGTACCAGGCACATGTGCAGTTAAAACATGCCTGCACGGCCTCGAATGGAAGATGAGTGCAAAGAATGGCGGCCCTGGAGGACACGGCCGCCCACGGCTACCTGTGAAGGCGCGCCGGTCATCATCCGAGCTGTGCTCACTCAGGCAGAGGCGGGTGGAACACACCAGATTGCCAGCAAAACAGGAACAGACATTGCAGTCAATACTAAAGGAGGCTCCATGACCTGAAAGAAAGCATCAGCTACTCCCGGTACTGAGACACAGACCACAGGGCTGTGACAGCCTCAGTGAATAGAGGTGCCTGCTGCCGAGCATGCGCACCTCAACACGTACACGGCAGCAGAGAACCAACTCCCCCACGTTTTTCTCTGACATCCGCAGATGTGCTGTGGCACAGACAAACATATACTAAAACAAACAAACAAACAAACAAACAAAACAAAAACCCCATAAGTTAATATTTAATTGTTTGAAAGTTTAAAGTTTTTAAGGTTTGAAAATGTAAAAATCTACGCACACACTACTGTGTGTGCACACGTGTGTGTCTCGCAGTGTGAGTGTGCAGGTCAGAGGCAACTTTTCAGGCTGGGTCTCACTGCCAGGGCGGGTTCTGGAAGCAAACTCGGGATGTGAGGCCCGTGCAGCAAGCAAGCTCCCGGGACCTCAGCAGCCCGGGCTGACAAGCACCACCATGTCCAGCATTTTTATATGGCTTATGGGGAATCAAATTTAGGTTGTCTCAGCGTGTGCAACCATATGAACCATCCCCCAAGCCCCTCACAAAGTTGCAGAACATCAATTCTTGAAAGAGGACTTCTGAATATATAAACTAGGGGCTTAAATCTAAGCTATTTATTGTGAGACAAGGTCTCACTATGTAGCTCTGGCTGTCCTTTGTGGACCAGGCTGGCCTTAAACTCATAGAGATCTCATGTTTAAAAGGCATTCTTAGAAACTAACTTTATTGTCCTCAGATAAACACTCCCCCTCCCCATCTCAGTTTCCTTATATATTTCAGGCTGGCCTGGAGCTCACGGTGTCACCTAAAGTGGCTGGCACACAGGATTACAGGCGTGAGCCCAGAGCCTGATGGACAGACGTCATGAGCATCAGCTGTGAATGGGGGTGGCAATACACCAGTACCTCCACAAGGAGGACTGGATGGTTAAGGGAGACAGTGTGGAGCCAGGCTGCCACGATGATTGGCACACAGTCAGATTTCTCTGAGATTAACGACCAGGCCCGCCTCAGGAGGCCTCCAACAGGGCTTTTTAGAAGTCCTAGTTCCTGCTGGTTGTGGTGGTACCTGTCTGTAATCCCATCACTCCGGAGACAGAGGCAGGAGAATTATTGCACATTCAAAGCCAACCTGGGCTATGTAGTGTGCTCCAGGCTAGCCTGGGCTATATCACAAGATCCTGTTTCAAACAACAACCACCCCCTTCCACCTACTCAACTCTCTCTGTCCTTCTCTCTCTAAGTTTTCTGTGTGGCTTAAAAAGTACTGTCCTAGAATATATGATTTATAGATTGTACTCTTCAGCAAATGAAGACAACCAGCCTCATGATGTAGTAAGACCAAACATGGATATACTCAAGACTCACTTTTTCTTTTCCCTCCAACAATGCAAGACTTCTGGAGGTCGACACAGTGCATTTCCATACAGTTTTCCAAGAGGCCGCTTTGTCCGCAGGAACAGATCTTATAACAGCCAACATCCCCTGCAGACGATGGCACCTGGATCAGCGTCCCCTGGCGGACAATGAAGTCAGAAGCTTCTCCCAATTTGCAGCCTGTACAGAAATACAAACAAAACCAGAACAGTGAACTGATAATAATTGTTCTAGTTTCACTTTCGACATATTTTATAGAATTCTTTGAGAACACTGTAGCTGTTAGAGATTGAATGATTATGTTACAGAGCTGGAGAGATGGCTCACCAGTTAAGAGCACTGGCTGCTCTTCCAGAGGACCCAGGTTCAATTCCCAGAACCCACATGGTGGCTCACAACCTTTATAACTCCATTGGCCAGACACCCTCTTCTGGCCTCTGTGGGTACTTTGCTCACATGGTACACAAGATAGACACTGGAAACACACACACACACACACACACACACACACACACACACACACATTAGGTTATAGAACTTACACAAAATTAAAGAATTGACTTTGCTCACTGGCCAAAAAATATATCCTCTCAAATAAAAATTCCATGTTTTATAAGTGATTAAGGACTTGTACCCCAAAGTTAGCTACAGTTTAGTACCAAAAATACTACGAAGATTTGGCTAAAGACAGTAGCGTCCATCTGTAATCCAGGGATCTGGGGGCTGAAGCAAGAGGACGACCTGGGCTGCCATGCGGCGAGACGTTAGCAAGAACAAAGAAGCAAGCAATAAAACACAGCTTTTCATTTCTGTGGGCTAAACATTTGGGAAATGACAAACTGTCTTAAATGAAGTATATAACGTGACGACATTTAGACTAATCTTTGCCAGTACAGTTTTTGGTGGTGGGATATAATCATACCACCGTAAATTAGCAGTGTGCTCATAGTATCATAGTAACCATGGCATTTCTTTACCTGCTACAGAAGAAAAAAAAAAGCCATGGACAATGGACAGTCTGTTTTCAAACATTACAGCATGGAAGGCAAGATACAGAAAGTTGGCTTGAGCGTCCCTCTTGTTCTGTAGTCAGGAATGCTGTAACTCACTATGACGGCCAAGTTTGTGCTGAGAGCACTGGTTTACAATTTAAATGACAACTGAAATTCTGTGTGTCCTTGTTTGCATACATACATTTTATTGGAAACCCTTAAGCAGTGCAGGAGAGTACAGTAAAGGGCCCTGCAACCTGGGTACAAAGGCAGCTCCCCTAGGAGAGGCCAGCAGCATGTCCCATGGTCAGCTCACACTCAAAGCCTTTGTCTCTTACCTTGAACACAAGAGTATGGAAAGCAGGGCTCTCCAGATGGACACCCTTTCCGGTTCACCTCACAGAGCTCATTGGCTGGGCAGGGATTCGGGTTACAGGGATGAGTCACTTCTTCTACGATGTTACCTAAAGCACTTGGCCCTGGAAAACCCAAAACTGATCAGTGTAACCAACCTAAAGTACCAAGCCTTCAAGTTAAAGGCTTCAGGGATACAGTGGAGAGCGCGAAGGCACAAAGCAGGGCCTGATTCTACCAAGCCCTATCAACCAAGCACTTGGATTTCCTCATCATTTGTCAGTTTATCACAACATACCCAACCTTTCATTTATTAATGGATACCTACAATATCCTTGGCAGAGCCTGGCTAGTGATCTGTAATGGACAAAACAAATAAACTAACATGGAGTTAATATTTGGAAGAGAGTATGATGAATGCTGATAACTTAGTAGTAATCAGACACATTTGATTTTTGGTGATCAAGTATGTGCCTACGTGTAAGAGGCATAATTTCGCACTTTGGAAATAATAACTGGTAATCTGTACGGCAATATGCGCCCATAACACAGTTATATCTACCTTCTACGATCCTGTCAAGGAAGGGCGGCACTTGAAACAGATGTGGCATTTAAACAGAGTGTTGCACGAACACAAGAGCACCCTTTGGTTTCCCTCCTATTGGAATCAGGTGTGCCTTACACACACCTGACTGTTCTAAGACGCTAGGATCATGAACACACAGGTGTGCGCACTTGGCCTTAATTATCAAGGAGACCATTCCGGAATCCCTCAAATCGGCACTAACCTACTGTCATGCTTTAGGCAGAAGTATCTGACAAGGGGAGAAGTGAGATAAGTTCCACTTCCCGTATACAAGCCCAGAAAATGGCTCTTTCTCCTCTACTGGGTAAGTCCAAGCCAGGCCTGGCTCAGATCCTGATACTTGGATGACAAAAGATGACAGCTTCCTAGGGGAAATTCCATTTTTCTGGTCACCTCATGAGAAACAGCAATGATTTCTGAGAATGCATCCTCCACTTTGATCCTTAAAATTCCCGATTGGTAAATAGTTCATACTTCCTCCAAAAGATAAAACAGAACTTATTTTAAGATGATCTGGCCACTTAGGAGACCAAAGTCTGGACCCCTGGGTGAGAGAGATGAGACCTGCCTTGTTGGATGGCACTGTTCTAGTAGCTGGAGCTAAAGGAGAAGTGAGCTGCACACAGCCTTCCTGCTTCCCAACATCAGGTGTCCCTGCCTCAGAGTCCTGCTGTCATCGGTGCCTACTCATCCAGGAACCGTGAGCCTTACAAACTCTTCCTCTCTTAAAATGTTATTGTCTGACATTTGTGTCACACCAAAAAGAAAAGTAGCTAATGCAGATGGCACCATCAAACAACACATTCTCATCCGAGGCAAAGAGCAAGGGCAGAGGCCATGAGAGAAGCACTTGAACTCTAAAGCCAACCAGCACAGTACTTACTGAGGTATGTATCCAGAGGTATACAGTTCTCCAGGTCATCTGCAGGGGACAGAAACTCACAAATACTTTCAGCTGTGTGGTCTTCAGGGAATTTGTTCTGGTCTCCACATTTCTTAAGAATCTCTACACAGTCTGATCTTAAAAGAAAAATGCACATTTGGACTCACCGCCTCACCTCATGTTGTCTAGTCAAAACTACTGAAGCTTCTCAGATGTCCTCATCACCTACCAAGCACTCACACTGGCTGGAGTAAGTCCCCTGAATGGCAGTCATGGTGAACTCCAGCTGCACAGTAAGTTCAAACCCTAACTTCCTGTACTCTGAGATCAACAACTCTGTTCCAAATTTACACTTATTGCTCCAAGCATGGCATAGCTTCTACCACCTTTAAAAGAAACCTGAGCTAGGCTTGTCTGCCTTGCAAATTGTATCCATTTTTCAGGGCCCTGTGTCAGTTCTTTCCTTTCCTCTCTTTCTCATCTCACTCACTATCTTTTTAGTTATCACACTAAGGTGTTTGGCTTATAACAGCCAGATAGTTCACGACCTTGAACTTTTTTCTTAGTTTAGGGGCTGGAAAGATGGCTCTGCAGTTAAGGACTCTTGTTCTTGCTAAGGACATGGGTTCACTCTCAGCACCCACATGGTGGCTCAGGTCTAGGGGGATCCAATTTCCTCTTCTGACTTCTGTGGGCATAGGCACACATGCGGGGCACACACATACACATAAGCAGCACATTCACACATAAGATAAATACATCTTTTTTTTAATGTAGTCTTGAGTAAGGGTTTGTCTCCTTAGTTGGTTTTCTAAGGGTGCATCCTTCCCAACTGTGGCCTTCGACTTATCATCCCAGTTAGACCTCAACCTCTCCCTTCTTCAGCTCATTCTTAAGCCATGTCAGAAAACCGAGTAGAAGACAGGCATGACAACTTATGCATGCAATCCCAGAGCTCAGAAGGCTGAGGCAGTAGGTTTGTTATGAGGTCAAGCTCAGCCTGGACTATAGAGTAACACAGTTAAGTCTCTAAAATCAAAACTAAACCAAGTAAGAAAATCATAGAACCGATCTGAACAGTTAATAGTCTAAACTAAGCAGTACTGAGCCACACACAGAGGGCTTAGGGATTAGTATCAACTTGGTCTTGAAAAAGCACCATGGCTTTGTCTTAGATTTCCTAAGTAACCTTTCAAAACTGTTTACTAGGAACAGGACCTAATGACTAGTCACTACTTCTCTCACTCATCAAGCATTTGTGATTAATGCTGACTGTGTGCTGAGATGCTAATAAACATATAACTGAAGCTGCAAAGGAGAAAGAGCAGAGAGCAAAAAAGGACAATGGCATAGAAAGTAACTCCAAGTCAAGCAGAAGGTGAGCCAAGAGCACAATGAAAAGTACAGAAGAGTGTCAGTCTCAGAAAAGACCCTGTGCCCAGATATGTTTGGTCCTTGTAGAGCACACTCAACCAAGGACCATCTATGGATATAACCTAGAACTTCTGCTCGGATGTGGCCCGTGGTAGCTCAGTAACCAAGTAGTTTTCCAAAGTAAGGGGAACACGGACTATTTCTAACAGGATCTCAAGGGCAGGCTGTTTGACCCCCCCCCCCCCTCCCGGGGAGGAGCAGTCTGTTAGGCCACAGAGGAGGACTTTGCAGCCAGCCCTGAAGATACCTGATAAAACAGGGTCAGATGAAAGGGGAGAAGGTCCTCCACTATCAGTGGACTTGGAAAGGGGCAGGGAGGAGACCAGGGAGGGAGTGTTGGGTTGGGGAGGGAATGAGGGAGCGGGATACAGCTGGGACACAGAGTTAACAAAATGTAACTAAAAAGAAAATATATATATATATATATATATATATAATCAAAAGAATGATATTCCATAAACTTAAGAGTTAAAACCCAGAATTTGGGCAAAATTGAACTGTAATTTTAACTCTATTCATAGTTAGTTGTATAGCCTTGTGCAGATTATGTTTTATGTTTGAATATTGGCTTTGTTCAAAGATTTAAGTAAACATGTACCTCATCGTTTGTGGTATTACACTGGAAAATGTAATAAAAAAAAATATAAAGCAGAAAAAAAAAAAAAAAAAGAAAAGTACAGAAGAGCGGGCAGCGGCCCAGCGACAAGTACCGCCCACCAGGCCTGAACAACCTGAGCTCCCTGAACACTACCACACATTCACTGAGGGGCGCGCTCATCCATATTCTCCCCTTCTAAACGCAAAAGTGGCTTTTGTCACGTTTGTCTGTTTGCAGTATAAAAACAGGGCCAGGAGGATGGCTTATTGGATAAAGGTGCCTGCTGTGAGCGCTGACAACTGAACAGTCTCCACCCCTGTGCCACTCCAAATTGTCCTCTGATGCCCAAATGCTCTCTAATAGGTATACAAATGAGCATACACCAAATAAATGTAATAAAATGTTAAAGTATAAAAACGTAATTGCGCACTGAAGGTATTTAGAAACTGCTTCTTGAACTAGATTCTATAATAAAGTCCGAGTGAAGTTTGATGGGAATTTGCACGAAGGGTAAGTTAGTATCAGCCAAAGGAATGTGGGAAGACTCCATAAGAATGTCTGGCATTTGAAAAGAGCCAAGAAGGGCAGGCCTCGGGAAGAAGATGGGGGAGCGTCCTCCAAGCAGAGGAGAAGGTGTGAGAGCATTGCTGGGAGGAAGGGCACAGGCCAGGGGAGAATGTTCTAAAGAGAGGCTCAGATAGGGATCAGGGAGGATGACTTACTTGCAGATAATGCTTCCTCGGGATTTACTGTGGCAAGGTTTAATCTGCAGGGAGCACGCGATGGCCTTCCACATTTCCGGCTGGCACTTTTTAATATCGAGGACAGGGATGCTGATGAAGGGCATCTTTATGCTCCCTTTTTCCCACAGCTTCATGTCACTCATGGCGCCCTGGTCAGACTGAGCATTACAGCTCCTGAAAAGCTCCGTTGGCCTAACAAAAGAAAAAACAAAACAAAACAAAAAAAAACAATAGAAGGAATTGAGACAAATTGTCTCCTGGATAGAAGCAATGAGTAAAATCTTGATAGATTCACACATCCAGAAAATCTGATTTTCTTAAAGAAGAGACTACCTGGACCCAGCATGAGCTTGCAGCTTCAAGTGTCTGGAGACTCAACGTGGGCGAGATCAGGATCCTGACTGCATGTTTTCATCTAACATAGGTTCTTATGATGCAGTTTAAAACTGCAGGGTGCTTTGGATGTGACCAACTTCCCAGACCATCTCTCTTTATCTCATGAAATAAATGAGTCTGCGTCCTTAAAACTGACAAACCCAGGAAGTAGTGGTGCGCACCTTTGATCCCAGCACTCAGGAGGCAGATTTCCAAGTTTGAGGCCAGCCTGCTCTACAGAATGAGTTCCAGGACAGCCAAAGCCACACAGAGAAACTATTACCTCAAACAAACAAACACCCCCCCAAAAAAGTTAAAACAAAACAAACCAAAACAAAAACCAAGCAAACAAAGTGAGGTAAACCTAAATAACAAAATGTACAATGTACAGAGTCCAATGTGATTTGACAAGTGTATGTCTCACAGACACACATGTAAATGAATAATGAAACATTTCCACCACACCAAACAGTTCCCTCATGCCCCAATGAATCACCACACATCAGACACTCTTCATATATACAGCAAAACTAAAAACACAAAAAACAAAAACCATACTCTTTTTGAGATTTACCCATGTTGTTGTAATATCAAGCATTTCATTCCTTTTTATTGTTAGATAGTATCTATTAATAAATGTTATCTTTTGTGAAATGCTTTTTTCTGTACTTAAAAAAAAAAAAGCTGAGGTGCTGGAGAGTTGGCTCAGTGTTTATGAGAACTGGCTGCTCTCACAGAGAACTCAGGTTTAGTTCCCAGCACCCATGGAGCTCAAAATGGGAGGCAGAGGCAGGCAAGATCGCTGTGAGTTCAAGGCCAGCCTGGTCTATAGAGTGCATTCCAGAACAGCCAGAGCTTCATAGTGAGACCCGTGTCAAAACATCCACCCACAGAAGACAAGAGCCCTGCACATGACATGTAACGTTTCTATCATGCTGATGTTCCCTGATGCCCTGGTTTCCTGGTCCTTATCCTCAGATTACTTTTGCTTATTCTTAGATTTCACGTGTCTGGAAGCACAGAAAATACTGAGCTTCTCTGGATTAATGTAAGCCCTTTCATATTTGGGCATCTTAGGAGTTTGCCCTTTTTCTGTACACTACTCCACTCTTTGAAATGCCATGGTAGGTTATGTTTTGTTTTTCTCATTTTCTTGGTGGATGTTTTGGTCCTCTCCTAGTAAATAATAATAATAATAATAATAATAATAATAATAATAATAATAAAAAATATATGTGTGTGTGTGTGTGTGTGTGTGTGTGTGTGTGTGTGTCTATAATGCTGGCAAACAGAGACCTTCTTGGACTATGCCTTCATGTCTCCTGCGTAAACAAAAGCTTCTGAATAGAGTTGCTGGGTCACAGAGTTGACCCAAATTACTTACCTAGCTGGAAACAGTGAGCATCACGTGCTTGCCAGTCTTTCTCTATAGCTATTCTAACGGGTCTGAGGAGGCATCCACAGAGGTCTCACTTCACGCTCACCAGGACTAGTACTAGCAGAACTTTCCATGCATATTCTTTTTTTAAAGGCACTTTCAACAGCTAACTGTATGGCATTCAACACAATGCTCCGAGATATGTGCATACTGTGGGAAGGCTAAGTCAAGCTGACTAATACACACCAGCACAAATGCTTTACCCTGTTTTTGTGGTAAACACATCAAATCTATTCTCTTAGCAATTTCACATATGCAATATACTTATTAGCTGGAATCATCATCTTTTTTTGTTGTTGGTTTTTCAAGACAGGGTTTCACTATGCAGCTCCATCTATCTGTCCTGGAACTCACTCCATAGACCAGGCTGGCGAAAGCAGCATCTGCTCAGTGAGTCACTGACTTAATTCAAAGACAAATCTGAGTACCCTGAGGTATGAAGGATGGTGAGGAAAATAAGGGGCCAAGAGCTGAGCATGGAACATAGCCACAGCTAGTGGCTGAAGAAAACAGAAAAGGGCCTCCAGAGCACAAAATTACAGAACTCCATCATTCCCAGTGATGTATTCTGCAGGGAATATTTCCACTGGTGTAGCAGGGAGAGTGAGTGGAGGCAACGGGTAGGATATTCTCCGGGTTCCCAAACCTTGAACCATCTGTAGATTAGAAGAGACTTTGCAATCATACTTTCTTTCCAAGGGCCATGCAGAAGGGCCAGAACATTTCAAGATGACATCATAAAGAAATACGATTACCCTGGAAGGCACATCAGAAAGTGGTGTTTACTTAAAACAGGTAGGTCAACGGTAGTATATTTCCATCTTCATATAATAATTTTCTTACCTATTGTTAAAGTTCGTGCAGTAAGTAAGGTTTGTGCAGCCCAACTGGCAAGGTTCCCGGACATCAGCTAGACACGTCAACATGGACACCTCCACCGGATTATATTCACAGATGCGGTCAAACTCCTGCCAACTCTGTGTGTTCCCCCAGCTCATGCTATAAAGTTTCGTGCACAGTTCCCTAAAACAGAAGAAAGAATGCAGAGCATTAGAGAGATGCCTAATGAAGATATCATCTGTGAAAAACTCCAATTCTATTAACTCTATCTTTAGGAAGATAAAGAAAAAAAAACTACAATTAACTAGCTTCTGGAATTTTGAGCCAGAAAAAGTCATCTTCTCCTTGAAAAGTGGCCTTTCAAAACCATCACGGGTGGTGGAGACGTGGCTCACCAATTAGGAGCTCTTCCAGGGAGCCCAGATTTATCCCAGCACCCACACGGCACTTCTTCTAGGAGGTGATCCCTGCACCCACATGGCAGCTCATAACTGTCTGCAGTTCCAGGGGACCCAAATATACTTTTCTGGCCTCCTAGGGCATCAGACTTGCAGGTTGTATACAGACATACATGCAGGCAAAACACCCATACAAATAAAATTTTAAAAGAAACAGAAGCCAATGTATATATTTAAAAAAAAATCATCCACAGGACAGATTGGGACTGAGAGATGGCTTAGTGGGTAAGGGAGGGAGCTCAGCATGCAAGCCTGCTGACCTGAGATTGACCCCAGCACGACATACAGGTGGGAAGAAAGAATGAAATACACAGTTCCCTCTCATCTCCACACAGATTTTGTGGTATGTGTACCCATCCCACTCCACCCAAATAATAAATAAATTCAGTAAATAATTTTACAAAAAAAAAAATCATCCGGCCCCCTCTGCTATGATTGATAGAAAGCTGAATACTACATTTTATAGTCCCTTAAGGTGTTTGTACATCCTTAATTCTGGTACAACTCTTTTCTCCCTTCCTTTTTCAATATTTATTTAAAGTAAAACATATGGTTTTACCCCCACAAAGGTACAACCTCCTTTAATTATGCTAATCATAGGAGGCAGAGCACTTTTCTAAAGAAGCATTTTAATGGTTGGGGTGTAGCTCGGTGTGAGACTCTGTGCCAGGGTGCTCAAGACCTTGGGTTCAGTCCCGAGAACCAGGAAAAATGGGGGGTGGGGTTTACAGGTTAAAGTTTGTTTAAGCCACTTGTGTTTCTTCAGATCCTCAAGACCTCTACATACTATTGCAGTTGATACAGAACATTCTGATGTTTGGTATTGATGGCTGCAAAGCACCCTAAGTGTTCCTACAGATAAAACAATACTGCCGGGCCATTTCCATGGTGCTTTTATACATTGGATTCATTACTTTAATTTTTTATTTATAAAAGTAATACATGTTCACTACAAAATTGATATTGCTGAAATATACAAAAATCATAAGTAACTATTTTCCACTGTTCTTATGGTTATTAGACTCTCATAAATGTGTCTATGAAGTTTTTTTTTTAAATGTGTATGAATGTTTGCCTGCATCTATGTCTGTGCACTATATTATATGTGTGCTTGATGCCAATGGAGGTCATCAGAAGAGAATGTAGGTCTATTGGAGCTGGAGTTACAGATAGTGGTGAGCTGCCGTGTGGGTGCTGGGAACTGAATGTGGGTCCTCTGGAAGGGCAGTTGGTGCTCTAAATCACTGACCATCACTCTAGCCCCAAGGAAGGTATCTTTACTCTGCAGTCTGCCTGACCTTCCTCTCTGTGGTCATGAGTGCTGTTTTATGTGCATGCTTGTAAAAGGTCCTGGAGATGCAGAATCCCAAACGAACCGGATCCAGGCTCTCAAGGAAGCTTGCACATTTTGAGGAGGAGGAGGAGGAAGTCAGTACTTTCTCTAGCCTTGAACTTCCTGTATTTTCCCAGAATAGATTATTCAACATCTCAGAGTTAGTTTCTAACATTTAAAACAGAAATTATACAAATTTCCCCAATTATCTCAAAAGGTTTCAGAAAGGTCAAGTCTGATGAAATTGAAAGCATTCAGCAAACCATAAGCGCCTATTCCTGGGTTGTTAAGATGGCTCTGCAGGTAAAAGGGCCTGCTGCCATGGCCCACAATCGCTGGGACCCACGTGGTGGACACTGATTTTCAACTTGTCCTTTAACGTCCACACTATAGCAGACACCCTCCTAAATAAATGTTTAAACACAACAAGAAACCGCTTCAAAACCAAAACCAAGATGGGCATGTGGTGCATACTTTAAATTCCAGCACCTGGGAGGCATAGGAAGTGGACCCTGAGTTTGAGGCCAGCCTGGTCTACAGAGTGAGTTTCAGGACAGCCAGGTCTATTTAGAGAGGTGGTGTCTCAAAAAACAAGCAAACAAACAAACAAACAAACAAACAAAACCATCCCAAGCTCCAATAACTCAATACAGATATTCACTTATTTTAATGGGCATTCAAAACTACTCAGTATCCCTCTCATTAATACCTTTACTAAGTTCTATATGGAATCCATTTGTGTAATTAAATACTAGGCCAGATTTACTTACAATTAAACCTTTCAATTGAGTTTGTTTAGATATTTTTTTGTATCTTTGGTAAAGTTCGATAGATTATCCTAGGTATATTTCTTTTTGTAATGGTCCAATTTTATGTTTCACACCTTACTTTCCCTTCAGGGTATCCAGTAATTTTACCTCTAATAAGGCAAACTTCTGTTACATTCTTGTTGTGCTCTAAATGACAGTGGCCCCATGGACTCATGTATTTAAATACTTGGGCCTCAGTTGGTGGAACAATTGGGAAGGACTAGATGGTATGGTGTTGTTCAGGAGGTCTGTCACTGGGAGAGGGGCTTTGAGCTTTCAAAAGACTAGAGCCATTCTCATTCTCTCCTCTCTCTGTGCCTCTCTCCTTCCTCCTTCCCTCCACCCCGTCTCTCCTTCATGATCATGTCTCAACTATTGATTAAGCACCATGCCTGCCTGCCATCATGCTCCCTGCCATGATGGTCATGGAATCTAGCTTTCTACAATTTTAAGCCCCCAAAAAACTAATTCTTCTATAAGTTGCCTTGGCCACAGTGTCTTATCAGAGCAATAGAAAGTGACCTGAGGCAAGCCTATTCATCATGATCTTAGGTATCTCCACTTACTTTCATCTCTACCCTGTTTCCTCTACTCACATTTGCATTTTTTCTCTCTAGGTATAATGCCAATTGACGCTGCTATGATTTGGAAGTGCTGAAGGACTGGTCACTAGCTGGAGACCTCGTTTTGGCAGTAGACACTTTAGGAGCTTGGGTCTAGGTGGAAGGTCTGGCTGGAAGAGGTAGGTCACTGGGTGAGCGGCTCTGATCCACCAGCCCCCCCTCCCTTCCACAGGGATATTTTGCTTCTCCTCAGAGCAATGGAGTCAGGGAACTATGGACTGAAACCTTAGAAACAGTGAACTAAAATAAATCTTTTCTCATTTGTTTTTGGCAGATATTTTGTCCCAGAAAGCACTCCCTGACATAATTCTCTAACTAACACCTATACCATAAGGTTGTTCTGATATAAAAGACTGTTTAAATTAAAAGTTTGTTCCTTTTTTTTTTTTTTTTTAAATAAAGGGTATCATATGGCTCAGGCTGGCCTTGAACTCAGTATGTAGCTGAGTTGACACTGATCCTCCTGTCTCCACCTTCTGAGTGCTGGGATTATAAACATGGGTCTCCATGACTAGTTTATGTAGCATTGGAGGGCTTTGTGCATACTAGGCAAGCACTCTACCTACTAAATTACACTCCTCATCCCAAAAGTTCGCAATTTATTAAAGAGACTATCTCTTAGATATCAGATCAAAATATATTCTTCTAATTATTTACATGTAAAAGTGTGTGTCTGCATGTGAGCAAAGTGCCTAAGAAGATGGCAGAAGAGAGCATTAGATCCCTGTAGCAGGACCTACAAGCAGTTGTGAGCACCCAGTGTGGGTGCTGGAACCAAACTCTGGTTCTCTGCAAGAACAGTAAGTGCTATTAACCACTGAGCCACCTCTCCAGGCCCAACATACTGTAAGCTTATTGATATCACATCATCTTTAAACATTTATTGCCCTTTCAATAGTTAATCTTTCATACTCAATGTATTGAACAATATTTTTTATCAAAAAAAAATTAAAGAGGCTGAACTTTAGTTTCATGGGATCCTATGACCTCTTCTGACTGCTGTGGCACCAGGCACATATGTGGTACACATGCATGTAAGGAAAATACTGATATATGTACATTTTTTAAAAAGACTTATCTATCTATCTATCTATCTATCTATCTATCTATCTATCTATCTACCTACCTACCTATCTACCTATTATGCAGCATTCTGCCTGCATGTGTGCCTGCATGCCAGAAGAGCAGAAGAGGGCACCAGATTTCATTGTAGATGGTTTTGACCATCATGTGGTTGCTGGGAATTGAACTCCGGATCTTTGCAAGAATGGCCAGCGCTATTAACCATTTTTCCAGGCCCATATTTTTTTTTAAATTAAATTACATTTAGTTATTTGTGTGTGTGCCTGTGTATTCACGAATGTGTAGCCATAAGAGGACAATTTCAGAGAGTCTTTTTTTCTTCCACCATGTGGATTCCAAGAATTTAGAAAGTGTCTTTACCTGCTCAGTAGTGACCTTGCTGGCCCTAAAACATTGTACTTAAAACACTGTATTTAAACAGTCTTTATTAAATATTTGCTGAATAAAATGATGGATTTTGGGATGAGATGGTTTAGTGTGAAGAGTACTTACGTTCTTGGCCAGGGTTAGCTCCGCGCATATGCATGGTGATTTACAGTTGTCTCCAGCTCCAGCTTCAGGGGACCTGATGCCATCTCTAGCCTCTGGGGGTACCACACATGTACCCAAGTACAGAAAAAATACTCACATATAATCTTCTAAAAATATTTTTTAAGAATTTTAAGATTTTATAACTTCTATTTATCTCCTATACTGAGAATTGAAGCCAGGGCCTTGTACATGCTAAGTCTAGGTCAGATTTTATATCTCTCAAATGCTAAGCATAGACAACTCAACAGTAACACATTTGCTAAAACTCGCCAATGAAAATCCTGTTTTCTATTGATTTCAATAAAGGGAATGAGGCACTAACCTACATGCTGAAGTGTTTGCTTTGGAGCAGCAATGTAGCTTAGCCCCATCCAGGCCAGCTGAGGGAGGGGGGTGGACACTGACGCCAGGGTGAACCGACTGGGAACTTTCCAGAAAACACTGCCAAAGAGGATCCTGAGGCAAGGGCTGGGTCTTACAACCCTCAATGAGACCATCAACAATCTCCATTTCTGTTTTCTTAGACATGAGAATTCTCTTGCAGGCGTTTTGGCAAGCATGGTCTTCAGCTCTGTCACAGCAATATAAACCTGCACATGGGATATAAGCCCGCCATTAGGAGGTTTTAGCGCGATACTGCTCAGAGGGGAAGAACATGGCAGAAGGTAGAAAACAAAGCCCTCTCTGCAAGTCTCTGCATACACAGGGCCTGCTCTCTCCATCATGCCGCAGTGCGAACCTTGCAAGATTTCCCTTCCCCAAATCCACCACGGTCCAGTCATGAGTTTTCTAGAACTACCCTTAAAAAATGAAAGTCATCCCACACCTAAGAAGGCCTCATGTAAACCACTTTATGTTCTTGGAAAAGATTCTGCAAATCAAAGTGGGCTTACTTCCTTCTTGTGTCTACTGGAGACTACATGATTGATGACTAATTTCCATGACATTAAAAGCATTCCATTTAATCGTACCCGAAGACACCACAGACTTTTTTAAGTCTGTAGAAGCTAATTAATATACATTGTAATTTAGATAATATAAACTCTGACAATATCTTAGTTTGTCTCTGCCTTTAATTTTCTTTTCTTTTTTGATGATAGGGATTGAACCAGGGCCTCAAACATGCTAATGGGTCATGATTTGCCTGTGAACTATGTCCCCACTCACCCAGCCTTTAATTTTCTACAAGGAACTAGAAACTTAAAGAAGGCTTTCAACCAGGCTATAGACTTCAGAAGGGTTCTCTCAAGTAGCTTCGGTGGCTCCATTTGAAGAAGCATACTTAATTGGAAGCCTTCTTTTCTAGATTCCCCTGTGTTAGGACAGACACTGGAGTTTATTGTTCCACCCTTAAAACCTCTTTCTTCCTTGGTTTTCTTGGAGCTTCTATCTCCTCACTGCCAGCAACACGTCAGTGCAGCCTAAATGTCAGAGAACACAGACCTTTAAAACAAATGAAGGCCACATCTCTGATTTGCACCACTCCACCACATCACAGAATGTCAAAAGCCTCAGATTATGATTTCAATTATGGCCAAACAAGGCATACCAGCTTCAAGATTATAAAAGGAGTCTTACAATATTCCAGTATAAAGCAAAACACTAACACCTGGCTTATATGTCAGTCTTTCATCAGGCTGGTTAATCAGTCAGGTCTTTAAAATCTGATTACCTCTAGATGAGCAGAGCCGAGTCTAGGATATACACAGTAGGTGTTTTGAAGATCCCAAAGGATCTTATCAGGTTTATCAGGAAGCCTTGATTTTTCAAAAATATCACTCTCTTATTTTTACAATTTCTTTTATTATGAAAGTAACAACTTCTTGTTGATAAAAGTTCCAGCATTACATGAATATATAGTGTGGAACAGTGAAATACAACTTAGTCTATGCTTTCAGTTCTGAAACTTGCTTTGTTTTCTTAACACATTCTGGACTTTCTGTATAAATATCCTCCTTTTTGTTGACTGTGAAGTGTTGTTATTGTATAAAAATATAATTTAATCAATATCCTACCGATGCATTTTGGGTCATTTTTATTTTTTCTCATATACCACTATGCATAGGTATAATATGTATGTATGTGTTTACATATTTGCAAATGTGTGTAAGTTTCCTGAATAAACAACAACACACAAAGTCCAGGCCAAAAGCTATAATCTGCTGTTCTAACTTGATGATCTGGCTTCCCATCAACATATCCATCCCAAAGACCTCTCCCATCTTCAAAACAGAATTTCCTTTTCCTCATGGTCTCCACATTCCCTTCTTTCTTGGTACCTTAGAGCTGTGAAAATTATGTTCATTCTGTCTGTCAAAAGCAAACATCAAAGAAATCTGGGTGTTTCTTAAATGAACTAGACCACATAAACCTACATGAATGTATCAATTTCTAAATGAATTATTGTATCAAAGAGAGAGATGAGAAGAATACAGTCCTTTACTTACTATCTGTTGGGTTTCTCATTGGATAAGACTGGGTGTAATTGTTCACACAGTGTATTAACTGTGGACTAATAGATGCACAATAATTTTCCACTGCTTTGATCTGAGAGGGCCCAGGAGAGGAGTCTGTTCGAAAAATGGCTTGACAGAATTCTCTGCAGTTTGTGTGATGACCTGCGTAACCGCAGCACAGCGAGCCCACTGTGGAAAAAGAGACGACACTGAGATGCAAACAGCTTTGTCATCCTAACCCAGCAGCAGTGAGCAACAGCACGCCTTTCTGAATGTGAGAAGTGAGACAAGGCGTGGATGATAAACATTTGAATCGGCAGGTCTACAGGCACAGGCATGGGGTCACTCAAGTGCTCACTGATAGGACAGTCACAAAGGCAACTACACCCTACATGAGCCCTGCCACAGCCCTGCAAGAGTGTAGAAGCACATGTAAGTGTGTTTGGCTGTAAGGACAATACGGTGTAATCTAGTCTTTAATGCCTGTCGGGGCTGTTAATATGACACAACACGCCTAGCACTGTCACCTGACCAGAGCTGCACCCCCAATGTCCAAGGCGGCCATGCTGAGACGTCTCTATAGATTTATAGACAAAGCAAAACCAAACAAAGAAAACAAAATGACAGGCTTTTACATCTATTATTTGGATCAGTGAAAACTGAGAGCAACTTAATAAATTTAACAACTGTGTACTTTGAAACAGAAATATCAAAATTTCTACCCAGTGTGCACATTCCTGTATTGTAGTAGTCTTCATTTCATAACTGATACAATCTGTCTCAAGAGCAATTGAAAGCAAAGTCATCTGAAGGCAGGTAACTGCATTTTGTATTTGTAAAATACGTCAAAGCCACATGTGGGTAGCGCACACCCGTCATCACACAGCACTTGGGAGAGGAAAGCAAAATGATCACAAATTTAATGCCACCGTGGACTATATGAAATGAAACAAAAACAACAACAAACCCAGTAGCCAGGAGTGGTGGTGCACACTTGCAATCCCCAGCACTTGGCAGTCAGAGGCAAGAAATTTAGAATCCAAGACCAGGCTGGGCCACTTAAGAGTTCAAGGCCAGACTGAGCTAGGTACACAGAAACAAGCAAACAGAAAGGAAAGTGCAACAGGACCAAAGTGCAGGAAAGGAGCGAGTGTCTGCAAGCACAGACATGGGACTCACACCGGAGAAGCCAGACCACCCTCACGGCATCTAAGGGTATGTGTGCCGGGGTGCCAAAGGAGCGAGAGCAGATGAGCAGCAGCGAGTTTACAGAGAGGCAGCTAAGAATTTCTACCTGATACTAGAAATGGCTATAGAGGAGCCGGAAACAGGGACCCAGTGAATCCCACAGACCAATGAACAAGGAATTCAGGTGACTTCAAGAAATAATGCTCAGTCATGTGCAAATTAACTAGTCGAGGGCTGCGTTAGCGATATAGGACACAGCTCAATGCCCTGGGCCAGAACACTGTTTCGTAGGTACTGTGTACTGATCTGACTTGTAACTCTTCCCAAGCTCACTGCCAGAGCCCACTGTGGGAACAACTGCTTTTCAGCCCTGCTCTGTGTGTGGTGCTGGAGACGACAAGGACACTACGTGTGCGAAGGACACCCTCTACTGCTGTGTTGCATCTCCAGCAACAGGAAGCAGCTGTAGCTGCATCTGTTAGTGTTAAGCCGCAACAGTGATGCTTTGGGAGTTCCAGTGCGGGAAGTAAAATGGGACCAAACGCCTGTCTTCTCATCCCTCCATTAGCTTAGTGTCCTTGCCAGTGTGAGAAGATCTAAAATCACCTGCCAAAGACTAGATGGTATGTTTTAAACTAGGCCAGTCTGAAAGGGCAGATGTGCAATCTGTGTTACTCTCCAGTATACCACATTACCAAGCTGATCCAATCATCTGCTTGTTCCTTGTTGTCTTTTCCACTTCTAACTGTTGCTCTCAACACTCCCTTCACATGGTGTCTGCTCCTCCAATCTCTACTTTTCTGCTTCTCTCCCAACCCCCTTCCATGAATATCTTATTTACACTCAAGACCCATTTAAGCTATGAACTCCACAAGGTCTCCTCTAAATAGCCTGGCAGGGGGACCCTGCTTCCTCTGAACGGCTGCATTTTATCAGTGTGCTGCCTCGGGTTCCACTCTGTTTCCAAGTTCTTTGTGTTCTGGTCATGCCCCACACAGATATGTGTGTGCCCCACAGCAGGCAAGTGCTCAGTAAATACGCGTGGACTGGACTGAGAAGCAGTCCCTAGCAAGGACACGCCACACACTGCAGATGTATTTCTCCTCAGAAAGCAACCCTTATTATTTGGTGTCCTCTTCCACTAGTGGCCTACCTATAGTGTTGGTTCACAAAAACGCAGCCAGGACACAGGCGCTGCTGGGATGCGTGAGTAATTTGAACAGGCAACTGCCAAACAGAATTCCATCTGCCTGCTTTTTCAGATGTCTTAGCAGGTGTGACGCTAAGGATACAGGCAATCACTTCCGACTGCTACCCATGTTTGTAAAGTGTCTTGCTCTCTGGACTGCTTGCACAATCATTGACAATATACTTACTTTCATTTCTGCTAATGCAACTGAAAAGAGCATTCTGTAAATTAAAGAAAAACAAACAAATTAACAAACAGAATTTCTAGTTTTATTCCATTTTAAAATTATATGGAAATCAGGATAGCATCCTTTTAAATTCTTTTTTTAAGTCCAGGGCTGAAAACAGAAGTTTTTAAACAACTTCCTGTAACCATGTCGGGCATCCCTGAGTGAGCTATAAGCTGGCATGTGAGGAGCAAGCAACACTCAATCAAGATGTATTAATGTGTGAAGGGTCATGTGTGGAGGTGATCACAGTGTATCAATTCCAATTGTTTTCTTGTACAATACAAAACATTTCTACACTCAGAGACATATTATTCCCTGTAATCACTGCGTTTTACCTCTAATTGTTCTCAAATAGCACTGGACCCACATACACTTCCCAGGCCTACCCTAGGTGGCAGAAATCTACACTTTACACGGTTTCAAAGATAGTTTTCATTTAGTCTTCTTGCAACCAGAGTTTGGGAAACTCCCTAGCATTTTACAGAGGGAAAGCATCCCACAGGCAGAGAAAAGACACTTGCGCTAGATCCCAGAAGTTGCCAAAAGCAGAGCCTGAGATCAGAATATCCCACCCTGCATTAAGTCATTGCCTGGAAAATAAGAGAAAACAAGAAAGAAGATAAGGCAAAGACAAAAGAAAAAGAAAAAAGAAAACTAAAACAACAACAAAACCCTCCTTGTCCAAAACCATTCGGGTATTCAGGGCTGGTCAGCTATGAATATCATTCCTAATTGGAAGAGAACAACTTACTAAAATAAATGAGCAAACAAAACATGGAAGGAAATCAGATGCACGGGCACGGTTACTGTCAAATCCAGCTCTGTAACTGGGCACACTGCAGTGCCTGTTATCTTAGCACTGGGGCACTGAGGCAGGAGGATCTGGAGTTTCAGGTTGGCCTCAACTATCCAGTGAGCTCTGACAACTTGTCTCAAAAACAGCCCAGCATTACCAACAGTGGAAATCTTGCTTCAAAGATTCTCCAGGCATGGTGGCTACTGCCTGTGACTCAGCACTAAAGAGGCTCAGGTGGGAGCTTTGTCCCTAGTGTGAAGCCAGCTTGAACTACACGGTAAATTTCAGGTCAGTCTGGGCTACAGTGTAAGACTGTTCAAAAACCCAAAAGAAAAAAGTCTATTTATACTGTTGACAAAGCTACATTGCATTCACTCTCTCTACCTAATAATATTCCATTGTAGGACTAAGCCACGGTGGATTTATTCATGTAAAGCAAAAGTAAGTTAATAAACCAACCAGGAACCTCATAGGAAGGGACAATGAATTCCTCCAGTGTGAGTTATCTCTGCCAGAGCAGGTAGATCAATATGGATAATGGAAAAGTAAATATACTCAGTGTTCTCAGCAAACTGTTTTATAGCTCTCCTCACCCACGTTCCTTTGTGTCACTGTGACTTTTCAGTTACCGTTTCAGACAACCCTCCACCAGGGTTCACCAGCCCCAGGAACATTTATAAAATAAAATAATCAAAAGCAGTATTTAAAAGTATACAGAGAAATAGCTTTCATCAGGGGTGATTTTGCCTACTAGGGACACTTGATGCCTATAGTCGTTTTCTTTTCTTGAAAGTGGGGTGGTATAAAGTGGTATAAATTAGCTTCTAGTGAGCAGAGGCCATAAACGTTGCTAAACACAGGCCTGATGCCCCTGGTCTCTAAGGATCCAGATGCCAGTGTCAATCATAGCAGCTCTCTGAAACCCTGCCTTAAGGCTTATTAATTTATTCTCGGTAGATTTTTAAAATTTGAACTCATAAGTAAGAGAAATATCACTTCTAGGTCAGTCTTGTGATCACTTAGCTTAAGAGAAAGCCACCACAGGAAATAAAGCCTCCAGTGTGAGAGATTGTCAAATTCAACATCCTTATTTGACTGGAGGACAAACTGAGGACAGAAGAGAGAAATGGGCTCAGAATCCAGTCTTCCCAACACGGCAACAATGGCATGCACGCCAAGTCTGCCTGCTGCTTGTTTATAGAGCTTTACTAATGCCACACCCATTTGCTTATATACCTTATGTAGCTATCCATGCTATGGTTGGCAGAGTGGTGTGGACAAAGACCTTATGGTCTACAAGCCTAAAGGGACTAATAAACTGGCCCTCTGCAACTGCTGAAGAAAAAGGAGGACAAAGCCGTCTTCTTGATGTCACTTGCAGAATAAAGATATTCCCCAAGCAACTATTATTTCTCTTAATGTCCAATGATAGACCTTTCCTACTTGGGTTTTCCTGATATGTTGAATGAAAACATCATATTTTTACACAGAAGTACCATTAATAAATACTACTTCTACATTTTTACTCATTTGAAAACTTGGTATTTTTTAAACTTATTTTATTTTATTTTAATCACAGATCATTCACTTGTATCCCAGCCATAGCCCCCCTCCTCTGTCCCTCCCTGAAAACTTCATATTTTTACAGAGAAGTACCATTAATAAATACTACATCTATATTTTTATTTATTTAAATATTAAATATTCATCACTTATGTTAAAAATATGTGCTGTCTGGGGCTGGAGAGATGGCTCAGTGGTTAAGAACACTGGCTGATCTTCCAGGGATCTTCCAAAGTTCAATTCCCAGAATTCACATGGCAGGTCACAATTGTCTGCAATTCCAGGGAATCTGACACCCTCACATAGTCATGCATACAAGCAAAACACCAGTCACATAAAATAAATCATTTAAAATATAAAATAAAAATGTCATTTTAGAGATGTAGATGAACTCATCAATCTTCTGCTCCACCCATCTGGATTTTATAGACTGATCATATCAGACTCTGATAAAAGAGTCCTGTGCTGTTATAAGAATTCTGCATCCTTTTCAGTCAGGCTGTCCTCAAACTTATATTCCCTCTGCCTCAAATTCCCAAGTGCAGGGACTACAAGGTGTGTCACCATGCCTGATCAGTAAGTCTTTTTAGCTGCTTCAGCTACTGTTGGTTGTTGACAGCCTGAAGACATCCGCGCCAGTTCTAGCATTAGCCTACAATTCTTAAATCACTCACTCTGGGGTCTTAGCTAGTTAATTAAGTCTTTAAAATGTCTGATTGCCATCTGGTGGCAAGAGCAGGAAGTAAGCATGTAGTTCAACAGCTCTCTATCTGACTTAAGAACAGATAAAAACTGCAGTGGTACTGAGGTAAGAGTGTACCACACCTTAGAAACCCAAGGAACCTGGCGGTGTACTGAGGCTGACAGGGCCTCAGGTCAACCTGGGCAACAGGGGAAAGATTTTAAGGATAAAGCCTAAGAAAGCACTGTCGTCCCATCATAGGCCCCAGCTCTGACTCATCCTTAGTCTTACCTGTTGTGCAGACTTTCTCCTTAGGCTGGAATGAGTTTCCCTCTAGGCCCCTGTGTGTTGCCAGCAGGTTTCTAGCAGTGGACTTGCTCACTGTGTCCTGAGCCT